TTAAAAAACTGAAACAGGAAGTGCTTCTGGACCAGTGTTGTTTACATCTTGTGAAATGGTCTATTGGAGATGAGGATGCGTTAGGCATCCTGCTAAATACAGTTTTTAATCATTTGGAAGGGGCAAACAAATTTGTGCTATTATTATTTATTGAGTTTTCATCAGCTTTTAACTGCATTCAACCCCACATTTTAGCAGATAAAGAACTACAACTTTTAAAGACTTGTAAAGACTTTTAAAGAACTACAACATTAACCCAGGTCTAACAGCCTGGTTAGTTGACTTTTTAACTTTAAGATCTCAAAAAGTTAAGGTTAATGATGTCTTATCTGGTAAACATTTATCTTCTACTGGCTCCCCCCAAGGATGTGTCCTCTCTCCTCTTCTGTTTGTATTATAAACAAATGAATGCCGTTCACACTATGATGATAGACAGATTTTAAAATTTACAGATGATTCTGTCATTGTGTCTCTTTTAAATGAAAATGTGATTGATCATGGACCAATATTGAAGGATTTTAATGAGTGGTGAAAGTGTTCCTTTTTAAAGGGGTCATGAACTGGCTTTTTAAATTTTATTATATTGTTGTCTGAGGTCAACTTATAACGTTCGCTTGGTTTTTGCATTCAAAAACATCAAAATGAACAAGTAATAGGCTATTTTGTACCCTGGTTGTGAGCCTACCTAAAAAACAGTCGGTTTTTATGGGCGTGTCGCACTGAAGACTTGGAAGTAAACACCCACTGCTGTGAGTGGATAACAGTTTTGCATATTATAATGAGTTTAACTCACCCGTCGGTGCACATGGGGGAAAACGTCCTATGTTGTAAAATGGCAACCGGATTCGCCCATACATGTTCGACCCAGAGTCCGTGTGTTGCACAATATTCCTGTCAGATCCAATATAGACGGCACAGCACCGTTCTTTACTCTTAATCGGTCTGCAAATCCAGTCTTGTTGACAAAACAATCCTCAGTGAAATGAAGCGAACAGACGGACAATGTTTTACCTCATCAGCTGGAACGTCATTAAAAAAAAGTTTATCCATGCAGTCCTATTGGAATCCACAGGAAGCTTATGCAGCGACTGTCTTGCACAACCAGGCACTGCACAATATTCTGTATTGCTCGGTAGTGATCCAGTTTGTCATCACGAGGTAAGCATGTATGATACTTATGTGTGTAATGCGCGAATGTGTGTGTAACGGGCGGGGCTAAACCTGGCGTGGTGAAGCAGGCGTTGATCATCTTCTGTGGGGGTGGTGTTTTATCCTCTTTGTCGTCATAGTTCCCCACTTTTAAAAACGAGTCGTTTTTAGAGGCTATGTCAATAAAAGCTTTTATTGGACTAACAAGGACGTTTTCAGTTCTGAAACTTACAGGATATTCTTATAATATGATGACCTCTTAGATGTCAAAAGCTCAAGGAAAATTTGATTTCTCAGTTCATCACCCCTTTAAACATAAATGTGTCCAAAACGAAAGAACTAATTATTGATTTTAGGAAACAGTGCCCATGCCTCCCCCTCACTATCATTGATGGCCATCGAGCCCATCGAGGTGGTACAGGAATATAAGTACCTTGGTACAACAATTGACAGTAAGCTATGCAGCGAACATATTTTCTTCGTAGATTGAGGAATTTTAACATTGACCCCACTCTGATAAAAATGTTCTATTCTTGTTTTCTTGTTATTCTTGCATATTATTTCAGGAAATATGCTCCTAAAAATAATATATATATATATATATATTATTTATTACTTAAATATTCTATTCTATTCTATTAATTTTGACAGGGCCAGGAGAGAAGGCCCTGATGGCCCTGACAGCCCTGCTCATTTTTAATGGTCCATTTCCCAGGACTTTGTAAGTGTGTCTCTTTAAACAGAAGATGATCAGATGAGCGTCTGACTGATGATTATATGATAACACAACACTCGACTGAATCTGACTGAATTCCTGACAACATCTCAGTCAACGGCTCATTCTGCTCTCATCAAATGTTTCTCTGTCATAGCAGGATCTTGCTCAAGTCCACTATGATCCTGTTCTCCTAGATCTCTGTTACCTGCAGGAACTGGATGTGATCTTGTGTGTGTGAAAGCTGCTCCAGCTCAGCGTCTCTCCTCCTCAGATCATTGATCTCCTGCTCCAGTCGCTCCAGTCGTCCTTCAGCTCGACTCACTGCAGTCTTTTCCTGATCTCTGATCCGCTGTGTCGCCTCAGAGCGGCTTCTCTCAATGGAGCGGATGATCTCAGTGAAGATCTTCTCACTGTCCTCCACTGCTGTGTGTGCAGAGCGCTGTTACACACACATCACAATCACACAGTGAGTTCAGTGAGTCCAAACTGAGACGTCTCACACTTCTCTTCTTCTCCAGACTCACCTTATGAGACTCCACATCCTCTCTCAGCTGATGAAGATCTTTCTGTCTCTGCTGGATTCTCTGACGGATCTTCATCTGCGTCTCCTTCAGCTGTTTCTGGAGGACAAACCAATGACAGCGAATGACAACTGAAATGTCAACATTATTTCATCAGTGTCCAGTTATAAATGAATCATTCAATCCTAAAGTTTTAATTCTGTCATCATTTACTCTTCCTCAAGTCGCTCCAAACCTGTATGACTTTCTCTCTATTGTGAGACACAACAGAAGATATTTTGACGAATGTCTCAACTGTTTAAAATATGGTGACACGTCAATAACATCAAACCTCATTGGTTCTTGCACGTCACAGTCACATGACTAAACACCATGATGTCATGACACATACATCAGTGAAGTTTGATGTTTCTGATGTCATCATTTTTATTCGGGCTCCACATACATGAGTTCATCAATGATTGATTTTATTTGTGAAAAAAATAATAATATAATTTAAAAATAATATAATTGTGAAATAATTGTGAAATTAATGTAATGTTTAATTGCATAATTGCACTTAATTGATTTTGTAATAAAAATTTATTATTGTTAAAATGTAAATATAAAGCAATTAGCTGAACTTGAGAGTGACATTTCAGCCCATTCTCACCCCAAGGATGTATATACGACGCTTTTGCCAAAGCGTAGACATCCAACGCACATGGCACCCTTTAGCATCAATATGAGACCCAGATATATATGGGGCAGAAGGCGCCTACTAGGGGTCTAACCCTAACCCTACCCCAGACCTAAACCTTACCATACTCTGTGCGTCTTATATTGACACTAAAGTGTGCCATGTGCATTGGATGTATACGCATTGGCAAAAGCGTTGTATATGACGCCTTGGGATGAGAATGCGTTGGACATTTTGACCCATGGCTAAATGATCTGCTAAATGATTAAAGGGATACTCCACCGTTTTCTCATATTAAACTATGTTATTCACTTAACTAAGACGAGTTGATACATACCTCTGTCGTCTCAGTGCGTTTGCTCAATCGCTCTGGCGCACGAGACACTTTGATAGCACTTAACTAGCCCAGTTCATTCAATTATGGACAGTTCAACACCTCCACATTTTCCCTATTTAAATACAGTTACAGGAGTAGAGTAACTCGACCAAGGACGGTGACACAAAATAAAACGTTGCGCTTTTCTAAGGTTAACTCGGCGCAGTAATATCATCACTCCGGAGAGTGAGGGGGCGGAGAGGACTTTTCACAAGTGATGATATTACTGTGCCGAGTCCATAGACGCCGAGTCGAAGTGCTCCCAAGCACTTGCTGTGGTATTCTCTATATATTCTCTTTAAGTGCACTTAAGTGGCCTTTCATTTCATTAATATTATATTATCTGCAAGTATAGTTTTTCTAACAGTACTTTTGGTGCGTTCTATTATTCATCCGTCTCGGAGATCCGAATCGGACGACAGACGTTGCCGAGCAACACGCCCCCTTTCCTCGGATTTCTCCTCTCGGACGTCGGACACCCGTGAGGACACCTAGCAAGATTTCCATCTCGGAATTCAAGATGGCTGCGCCCTGTGACTTGTCAGAATGAATTGTTTTCATTGTTTTTGAACCGCTTTGGTATTTTAAATGACGATTATAATCACTCGTATTACTGCGTCCCCTGTAGGTATGGGAATCGGTTGTTGTGAGTGCAATTACTAATGTTGCTAGCGTTGCTAACAGAAGATTAACATGGAAAACATTAAATAAAGTGAACATTTTCAAGTTCAAATGGCTGCATGTTGATAAGGTGTAGTCATAATACATTTTTTTTTTAATGTGTCTGGTACTCGGCCAGTGCTACCATTATAACAGCTTTCCGGGTGGCGTCCATTTTTTTCTCCGACTCGGACACACAAAACAAATAGAACGCTTGAAGTGTGGACGTGACGTCATATCCGAGGTCCGAGTCGGTTCGTTGGGTATAATAGAACGCACCATAGTTTTTCAGAAGTACACTACAATTAATTGCAGTTCCTTTTTTAACCACTAGTTGTTAGATTACTCTTATGCTTTTTCTCCTTTTTGGAGCTTGAAACTTTTGAATCTCACTG